TTAAACTTCTCACAATTTTATCAATGCACAAGTTGGGAAAAAATAGAATTTATTTTAAATATGCAAAAACCCGAACAAAATTTAAAGATTATTTGCTTGTATTTTGACAATAACTTAAAAAATTTACATTTTTATAAATGGCCTTAAATCTAAGATTGTTTAATTTGTGTAATTCCATCAAAATATGTTTGTTGATTAAAATTGAGTTCAAGATGATCTGATTATTTTGCATGTGACTTTAGATTTGTGGTGCATGACAGTTCATTCATGCTTTGTAGAAGATGGCTCGGGAACACAGTTTGTAATACTTAATGAAGATGGGTATGTTTCATTGCTTAGTTTAATTTTTTGTTTGTTTTTCTTGTTATCTCATAAAATTACAAAAAGTGGTTAAAATTAAATTATTCACATTTTAAAAACTACTGAACTTCTCTTTTTTTTCAATATTGCAATGAGTTCTACAAGTTATTTTTCAAATTTTCAAACTTTCAAATTTTCAAATGCTTTATTTACTGCTAATCTCGGCTGCTTTATTGAAAATATAAATTTTTATGAGATTTAATATAGTTTGAGACGCTTTTTCCTAGTTTTAAATACATTATTGCATTGCTTTATAAGTAATTTGAATTTTTGGTAGAACAAAACAAAATTTTTATACTTTTAGTGAAAACGTGTTTTGTTCTTAGATGTGCGATTGATCGCTACTTGCTAGATAATCTGGAATACGGTCCTAATGAGTTAGAAGCTCAGAAGGAAGCACATGCATTCAAATTCGCTGATAAAGTAGTAGTAAACTTCCAATGCTCAATTAGGTTAGATATTCGAAATGGAAATTGCCCGGTAAGATATTAAATGAATTGAACAATGATCTATTATTTATTTATTTAGTTAGTTAGTTATCTACTTACTTATTTATTACCCTTAGATATGTATTTGCGCATTTGATCTTTTTATTACAAATAGAATTATACTTTCACTAATTTCATTACTTAATTCTTCACACATTTGAAAAAAATGATGTAACTAAGTTTTATTTGACTAAAACTATTCACTGAACAAAATATTTATTCAAAAAACTTTGCAGAAACCACAATGTCGAGATTTGAGTAATAAAAGACGGACAGTAAGACGAAGAGCGCTGACTAATTTTTCATTGCATTCAAATTTAACAGATAGCATGGCTGAAGTTGACGTACGTGCGCAGCAACTTGATGTTTTAGACACGCAAATTGGTTATTCTTTTCTACTACACTTATATTCAGACACTATAAAACTTTAATATTCAGTATCAATTTTTAAGCAAAAGAAAAATATTTTGATATTCAATTGCCATATTTTAGCAAAAATTATTGTAATTTATTGGATAAAAGAAAAGAATTTTCACTTTTTATCAATAAATTAATCTAATAATCATTGAAACAAATGGTATATAACTCGCATTGCGTTTTCTTATCAAATTATATCTCGAAATTTTTGAAAATTTTCAAAAATTTGGATTTTTATAAAAATAGTAAAAATTAATTTTTTTTGAAATTATGATTATTTTCTGTAAATTTTAGCATTTTTTTGGACTATAAGCTAATGAAATAATAAATAGACAATGAAAAATTGCAGATTTTGGTGTGCCATTAAATGATCCGCGCGTAGCTGCACAAATTCGTCGGTTGCAAAGACCAGAAAGTGCTTATTGTGCTAATATGCAAATTTTAGCTATTGCTGCATCACTTTTTGCTTCAATAATAATAGCACTTTTGACAATAAATGTTTATCTTTGTAATACTAGGACGAAAGTCAAGTAACATGACCTCAGCATTACGACTTTTTTGTTTTTCATGTTTTTTTAAAATTTTGTACTTGGAAAGCTCCAGGAAAAGATCTAACTCTTAAAAATTTTTATTTTTCGAAAACCAAAAATAATAAAAAGTTTGTGAGATTACAATCCTTTTTCGGTTAAGTTAAGCAAAAAACATATTAATCTTTTTTTTACTTTTTAAAGAATAAAATAAAGAAAAGTTTAAAGTTTAAACTCATTTTTTACTGTGCTAAAACTTTAAAATGATTTCTTTTTTAAATTTATTTTCGTGTAAAACTCTTTCAGTATAAGTTAGCGAAAAGTTTGAAATGTTTAATTTCGTTTCAAACTTTGACGAAATATTACAAACAGTACTTTGATGTGACAGAGCTTCATACAGTAACAAAAGAAGTCGTTACTAGCATACATTATGAAAATGTGAGCTTCTGTAATATCATATTGTATGAATATTTAACTTTTACTCAAAAGTCAAGTAAAGAAAAATGAAATATGCAAATTAGTAAAAATACAAAATTTCAATAGTTAATATAAAGTGTCAGAAAGTGTTTTTTTCAGTAAAATGTTGAGAAATTAAACTAGAAATATATTTTGAAAAGTTAGCAGGGAGATATGTTTTGATACGTGACACTAACAGAGAATTTAATATTAACTTTTCGATCTACGCTAAGAAATTAGTAATTAGTGAAATCTGTCAGCATACAGTAAGTAAAAATCATAGCAATCTTTTTTCTGATCAAAGTAGAGTCTTACTTTCTTATTTAAATTAGATAAAAGAATCAAATATCAAAAATTAATATCCCACAGAATAAATACTTCAATCAATTTGATGAATTTTATTTGGAAATTATTTTGGGAATTATTTTTTTGCACTGAAAACTGACAAAGCATTCATTGTCGTTCCTTTGGTAATAAATACAGTAACTTTCATTTTTGAATAATTGCAAAAATTCGTTGCATATTCCAAAGTATCAGTGATGCATGCACTTTGAACTTTTGGAATATACTCAAGATTATTGATACTTTGGGTTATTTTATTATATATAATTAGCAAATGATTAAATATCGTGCAATTTTCATAATTTCAACGTGAAATTCTTTCTCTCAAATACATTCAAACATTTGAAGCTTAAACTAATATTTAAATTAGGCCATTTTTTGTGCTAATTTTGTTTGTCGTGCTATTAAATGCGGTCAGCTACAGACAAAAGTACGTAATTTACAATTTGAATGTGAAGATTTATGAATAACTTGTAATTGTTCATATTTTTGAAAGAAGTTGTATTTTATGAGTGAAAAGTTAAGTACTTGTGAACTGAAGGCTTTACTTGACTCGTTTGAAGTTAATTTTTCTGTTTATTTGTATGCCTTATTAATTACTGACTTTGTAATTTTAATAAATATTAATAATTTATGTCAATGCTAAATTGCTTGTGTATATTGTATTTGCGAGTTGTTTGTTCAATAAATTCATAGACATTTTCTAATCTTTTTTGTCAGAACTTGCATTTATGCAAATTTTCTTCGATCGAATCCAATTCATCAACTAAAATTTTTCAATAATACGAACACAAAAAAATTTTACATTATGAGAGCCAGGTATTACAATTACGTTTTGTCAATATGAAAAGTAAATAACCTCGTTTTATTTTTTTTATAATAAAAACTTTTAAAAATTTGGCTACTAACAAATATTTACATAAATAAGGAATTTGTGTTTCGGTCAACAGACATTTGATTATATACTTGAAAAATCTTCTAAAGTTTATCAAATTAGCGCTATCACACATAAAAATAATTTCTTTAGAAACTATCATATTTACCTTTCAAAATATTTTTCATTTATTACAGTAATAATAATATTGTGAGTGCGATTATGCTGCTAACACTACAATAATTTGGACGAATTACTCTGCTTGGATTAAAGCATCCAAAATAAAACATAATTTCACTTATTTGCGAAAACCTTTCATATATTTTCTTAAGTTCCCCACACTTATGGTTAAATATGTATCAAAAAAGACAGGAACTTTAACAATAATAGCAGTGTTATGATAAATACTTAATCTTATCTAATTTATATCACTATGAATAGTTGATAGATATTAATGTCTATGAAAAATTAAGCAATAATTCAATAAGACTAATATCTAATTTTGATTTGCATATGTAAAGTGGAAGAAGAAAGTAAAGTTGTGAATTTTCATTGCACTGTAGCTAGCATTTCTTTTAAAGTATAAAACATAATTTCAGTTATTCAAAAATTTGTACAACAAAACAGTTTATATCTTTTGTAGTATTAAATGAAAGAAAACAATAGTATCATATATAACAATCAAAAATAATATTTCAATTCTTTAATGAGGCCAATTAATCGCCAAATCCTTACAATACAATTCGTCAGAACTATCATAGCAGTCAACAATTTCATCGCATCGTTGCGATCTTAGAATACATTTGCGAGCATCATGACATGGAAAGAAACGCTCGTCCATAAGACAAAGTGGGCGTACTGAAATAAATTTAAATTCATTTTAATGCATTTAAAATTTTTTTTAACGTTTTAACAATGAAGAAATTACGTATTAAATATACTGCAACTTTTTAAAAAAAAATATATGACAAAATTATAGCAAAACAAATACAATTCGGTAAAATACTTACTGCAGCCAAGTTCGTCATCGATATTCTTGCAGTTGAACAAGCCATCACATTTGTATATCGGATTAAGGCATCTGAAAATGCAATTTCACAAATATGACTGATACAAAGATTGTTTTTGGTGCTAAGAAATAAAGCAATAATAGGACAAGTGAATAATTTCAACGTGCTAGCTTTTTTATTTTGATAAGTAAATAGTATTTTTCATTACATTTGCATAAAAATATGCTTTTTACTTATACTACAAATAATTATTCTTGAACTTTATGAAAAATTTAAATCAAAAACTTAACTACTAGAAAATTTTGAAAACCGAAAAATAAGCTTTTAAGATATATAATTAAAATTAAGCCAAAAATAAATCAAAAAATTCAAAATATTTTTTTAAAATTTAGACGTATAAAAAAATTGAAGTGAAAAGTAATGCTTAAAAATGAAATTAAAGCTGTAAGTAAAAATTATTCAAGGCATAATTTCATCGAACTTGCAGTAAAGTAAGCGTTTATATAATTTTTGCAAAGTAATAATATTTGAAAAAATTACTTATGATCTGGTTGTGAGCAAAGAATCTCATTCTTTTTGCAATTTGGCTCACAAAATCCATTTTTATGCATAATAAAACCATTTGCGCACAAGCATTGTGGTCCAGAACCATCTAATTTTGGAACACAAAGATGCTGACAAGTTGAGTTATGACAGACATTAGACCCTTAAAATTATTGCCATGACTTACTTTATAAATCAAAATTGAATCATTTAAGTGATAAGAAATAAATAATTCAGTTGATTTAATGTATGAAATGATTGTCAGAAGATGCATCGCTTACCTGAAATTTGCATAGCTGAATGATAAGCTTTAAGAAAGTACGGTGGCATGATGATTTCTAATAAAAGTGTTGCATTTCCACCAGTAAGTTTGTTAGCAAATAGTAACCCACGATTATTCCAATCACTCCAAAAAATTATATCATCAAATACTGTCAATCCAAAGACATGTGGTACTAACTGACCATCGGTAATTATTTCTTTTCGACCTGACCCATCAAAATTGACCATTCTAAATTAAAATGTAGTTGTTGGATCGTTTGATTTTTTACTAATGACTTTTTTAATTTTTAAACATTGTAATCAGTTAAAATTTAAATAAATTTTAAACAGATTTTGATATTACTTATCAAAGAATTGAAGTTATAAGTGGTGAATTTCAAAGCTTTAAGTTTGCCCACACGTTAAATTTCTTATTGGATATTATTAGAAATATTATTTTTATTAATTAATCACCAAATATCTGCATATTTTATTCATTATTAAGTGATAGAAAAATACAAAAAAATAGAAAACGAAGGCAAACTCAATAATATCGCGAAATGCATCAGCCCAGTACAGTCTTTGAGCCAAGTAGTCTACAGCCAAAGCATTTGGCCATACTATATTTTCAGTTATGATTTTCTTGGCATGGCTACCATCCATAGCCAAAGCTGCTATGAACGGCTTATCCCCCCAATCGCTAGCAAACACTTCCCTGCAGGCATTTACAAGATAGCACAGTAAAATTAAACCAAAAAAACATTAATTAAATATAAAATTAAAATTAAAATTTATTTGGAACACTCAAATTAAGTTATTAATTACCTTCGCAACATTTGTTCATTCAGTTATGTCAGTAATAATTACTAAAGTTTACAAATGTTTTCCAAATACTTTCGATAACATTTTTTAATTCTATCAATTTGCAATGCTTTTTAATATTTTTACAAGTTTTGATTTTTAATTATTTATAATTGTTCACACTTCCTTTCCAGTCGAATACGGTTGGAAATCAAAAAGACTAAATAAGCAAATCTTCTAAACATTTATTTTTATTGTGCTTATATACTTTATAATATATACTTCACTTACGCATTTTATAATTATCGTTTCATTTTTGTATATACATATATATATACTGTAATAAAATACATACGATTAAATTATGATTATTATATTTTTATCATTGTGAGAAAATATTGAGAAAAATATTCCATATTTAAAAAATATATTGAAGTGAGCATGCAGGAAAATAAGCAAACCTCGTAGAAGGATTAACAGCCAAAGCACGTGGAAGCTGAAAGAATCCTTTGTACAATGAAGTTCTGAAACGGCCATCGAGAAGCTGAACATGTAGCTGATCTTGACGCAAGCTATATAAGTTCCTTAAAATAACCAACTATTAATGTTTTAATGCAACTCCTTTATGAAGCCCTTCATACAATATATACCACTGTAACATTGATAATACTAATAATAATTACTATAGATTATCAATAATTATCATTAACATTATTATTATTGCTATTACTATTATTATTACTTTTGTTTTGTTTTTCAATATGTTAGATTAACTTTTTTAGGCACATATAAATAAGTAATGAAAAGTTCACTATTTTTAAATAACTACATTCGAAAAGTCACTGCTTATTGCTATTGTTGTATATTAGAACATTTAAAATTGCCTCCTTAGAAGTTTCACCTACTGAATATTAATTTTGATTGCTAATTTTGCTTTTGATGCTAATTAATAGTTATTATATTTATGATGACTTCTGATTTTTAATTTATTATTGCTTCTCAGAGCAAAAACAAAAATAAAAAACATTTGGTATAATTTACTAAATTCGATCCTTACTTATATACCACAAATAACCATAACGATAGCAATTGTGCATTGGGTTTGATAAGAGAAAAAGATGGTGCCTTATCTTTACTGCTGTTACTGTTTGTCGACAGACAACTGCTTAATTAAAAGTGTACAAAAATTATAAACTCGAACCTGTGAACCCAATCAACTGCAATTCCCTCCGTACCTTCGATGTCGTGATTCTGCACCATATGTACAGCTTGTTTGTTATATAAATATGAATATTGCAATGTGTTTTTAAACAAGTCCACAAAATATAACCTTTGAGTCTGAAACACCACTAATTGATCAGTTTTCATTTAATATTAATAATGATAATAATAATAATAATAATAATAATATATTATTATTATCAATTTGAGATTGCTTAAGTTTGATTAGTCTTTAGAAACTAAAAATAATGATATTTTGTGATTGCAAAGAAAGGACTGACCACAATATCATAATCGAACATAACTACTTTTCCTTCTTCTCTATTCGCAATGATTGTTTCAAAAGCTTTTGCATTGTGCGTAATATCCCAAATGCTATAAGTATGTGCCAGAAACAGTCTTACATTTTCTGCAAAAACAATACTTTTGATAAATACAAATAAACAGTATGCAAATTACCGAGCTAATTAGTAAGTTAATTAAATTAATCAAAATGCTTTGCCTTATAAATTTTCTTAGTCATAATAGTTCTGACTTTTGGTAAATTAGATCGATTGATTTTGGTTGAATTTATTTAAAAGTTGCTCTCGGAATAATAAAATTAAATTCTTTTGAAAATATTCAAGCTATAATGAAGAAAAATCTGTAAAACAACCGCTGTCCATTCGAATACATCTGTGACCATCCCGAGCTAGTTTATACAATGGATTAGCACATCGACATTCATAACCACCTGGTTTGTTGATACATCTTTGTGAACAGAGATGCTCATTAGATTTGCACTCGTCCTCATCTGAACTTTGACATAAAAGGTAAACTTGAAGTAAATTAATTAGAAAAATGACAAAGTTGGTCATTTTAATTAGTTTCGTTGCTTTGACTGAAACTTAGCATCCATATTTCTACCCTTCAGCGATATGATTGTTTGCTTTATTTATTCTGTACTAATTTATGCACCAATATATCTTATTAAATACTTAAAAGTTGCAAACTGAGCTTTATTGCATTGCTTTTTTCACAGTAATTTTGCAGAATTCAAAACGATTTTTTCACAATTACAACTATAGTTTGTATTAGGTAAGACTGAAACAGATGGCTTTCTTAGTTCAGAAAAATAAGAATTAAATTTTCATAAATATTCAAAAATCAAAACACATAATATATTCGGTACTTTTGGTGTTAATATCATTATTTATTAATTTATTACTATTGCTTACTACCATTATTTATTATTATTATTATTATTATTATTATTATTATTATTATTATTTACTATTCTTATGATTACTATCATTAACTTTTTGTATTAAATGTTAAAAATAATGCAGAAATTATTACCATAGAAGGAACTTACCAATACATTTTTTCAGTTGCTTACTGTAATAATAGCCACTTTCACATCCAATTCCTGTATAGTTGTCAAAGCTTTCAGCACTATTTTCTTCGATTTTGGTGACTGTAATATCAAAATAATTCAACGAATGCTATATTCATATTATTAATTTTTCTAACTTTTCTTTGATTGATTTCAAACATTTCCAAATTACTTGTACTTTTCTTTATCTGAGCAAAAAATTCTGTGTAAATAAAAGTAATAATAGCAATTCAATGATAATAATAGTGACAACATATTATTATTATTATTATTATTATTATTATTATTTTAAATATTATATTTGTTTGAAATATATTATTCTAAATATTATATTATTCTAAATTTCATTTTGGAAATATTGTTCTAAATATTATATCTGTTTGAAATAAATAAATCAACTTAATTACAGAAAAATATTTAATAAACTACTGTCCACATTAAATTAATGCTAACCGTTGGTAGTTTGATTATAATCCATGAACAACTGTTGCAGTTTGCAGTTTTCATACATTAGCTCAAAGTAAGACTTTGCGATCTATAAAATAGATTAATGCTAGTAATTGGAAAACAGAAAAATCACAATATTTGGGAATTCAAACATATAATTTGCAGTTAGATTGTCAGTATTTATTTGTAATAATTCAGAAATTGAAATTAAATACTTGTTCTAAGATTTCAATTTCTTCAAAATTTATATTCACATTTATTAGCCCAAAAACATTTTAATTCGAAAATTAGCAATTTTATGTATAATTTTTTAATTTATTACTAATTCACTATTACTGCTAAAAAATTAACTTCGGAAGAGCTAACTGCCAATTACTGAAAGTACTGAAAGTTACTGAAATACTTTATAAAGACGACAAATGGAAGTGAACGATCTGCACTGAGCTAACTGCTGGAAAAATCGTCACCTTTGAAATGTTAGGACAGTATTCTTGGAATGATTTACTGAATCCACAAGCAATATATGATTGTATTAGTTCACATTTCGATGTTAACGAATTTGTAAAATTCTATAAATATTATTTTACAATTATTCACATTATTTAAGATACAAAAAATAAAGTAAAGTAAAGTCAATCGCTTTAATAAAATAGCAAATTTATGACTATGAATTTGGATGTTTTCAAAGCAAAGTGTTCATCCGCAGCTTAATTTATGCTACTAAAATAGTAAGTAAAAAGGCTTTAATTAAAAAACCTTTATTACTTTTAAATACTTAATCTTTTAAAAAAAATTAATCTTACATATTAGTGCTTAAAGTCAAAAGTACGTAAGATAAGTTTAGAAAAGCATAAGATATTAGTCAAAAGAAACCTCGGAATTTTCTTGAGAATCGCTTCTATTTGTGCAATTATTTTCGGTGTAAATTTGCTGAATTTTTTCAGTACAATTTTGATCACGTAATAATGAATCAGTGAATTGATCTTCGCAATAATAATCGTACAGTTTTTCCAAGTGTAAATTCATTCTTCTAAATTTACAATTTTGATCGAATTTAATTTGGCAAAACATAAATCTTTTTTTCAGTGCATTCATTTTTAAACGTTTTCAAATTAAAAATAAAACTATAAAATAATAGCATTATTAGATAAAGTCATGTGTTATTAATTAATTTAATAATGCGACTTATATCTTTTCAAAATTTGTCATTAGTGATAGTCATAGCATTAATTTTCATTTTAATAATACTGGATTAACTTGTGTTCATAAGAGTTATTCACATGCAAACCTGCACTCTTGACCAATATTATGAAGGCTTTTCTTGTAAACTGCATAAATTTGGCAGGAAGGTCTTTGAATTAAATCTTGAAGTGGCAGTTCAAACAACTTGTAGTTGACCTCTGACCCATTCCTCACTTTCATGCTAGCTAAAACTGCAAATCGCTCACTCAGAAGATCACATCGACTCATTACATTTTTTTGGCTTAAATTTGTTGCATCTGAAAAAGTTTTTAGTCTTTTTCAACTATTTCAGAGTAAAAGACACTTATTTGAGCAAATGTGCAATTATTGAAAAACTAAATTAGTTTTAGTCTTTAAATTATCACAGTTAGTTTCAA